GTGTGTGTGTGTGTGTGTGTGTGTGTGTGTGTGTGTGTGTGTGTGTGTGTGTATTGTGGTGGTGGGGCATGAGTATGGGCATGTGGAGGTCATAGAACAACTTTTGGCAGTCAGTTCTCTACCTCATTGTGTGTTCTGAGAATCAAACTCAGGTCATGAGGTTTATATAGCAAGCACTTTTACCTACTGAGCTATCTTGTTGGCTTTGGTCAGTCTGTTCTTAAGCTCTTTCAGTCTGTAGCCCTCCACGCCTCAGAGCGTGCTCATTTGTTCCTGCAGTTGGCGGATCACTGGCCCCAGTGTTTCACAGAGTCTCAGTCGTACTGATCTGTGCGTCACTTTAACAAGTCCGCTTGCTCCCGTGTTGCCTATAGAAGACTGGCATTTGGTACTAGAGCTGCACTCAGATTGAGGCTTTCGAGTTTGGAGCAAGACCGTTTCCTGGGTGTTCAGCCCTGTCAGGGACTCTGGCTCTCTAGGGGCTCCTGTGTCTGCTAACCTCCGATCCTATGGAGTGGCTAGTAAGCTGGGGATACTTCTTGTTTGCCTGCCCTGTGAGAGCTTATGCAGTGATAATGACTTCTTTGCTTGCATCTTCATCTACCAGCAGGCATACTTCACCAAAGATAAGCCTCCCCTTTTCTCTCATTTGGTTTTACTAAGGTAGTCACATGGAAAGGGCAGGTATGTGTGGCTGTCACCTTCTCTTCCTTTGTTAGTTTTTGGGATTATGATTTCTTCCAAAGGTGGAGATCTTCCTCTCTGGTGTGTTTTGTTTTGCTTTGCTTTGCTGGTTTACAATCAACAGAAACTACGACTTCAACACGTTAGAGGCCTTGTACTGTTTTATGCTTGATCTTTTTTTGTTGGTTTTGGAGGTTTTTTTGTTTTGTTTTTCTTTTTTGGCTTTAAGAATATCTATTTATTTGGTGTGGGTATAAATCCAGGTATGAGTATGCTATGCAGAGGGTATTGAAGGTCAGAGGACAGTTTTGTTGGTACTTGGTATTCAATTTGAGCCAGACTCTTTGTTCCTTTTCTGCTGCTTATAGCAAGCTAGCTGGCCTGCAAGCTTCCTGGGACTCTGCCGTCTCCATTTCCTGTCACCCCAATGGAGCACTGATATTGCAGGTGCTCTTGGTATGGGTCTAGCTTTTATTGTGGGTCCTGGAGGTTCAAACTCAGGATCTCATGCAAGCACTTTTGCTACTGAGCAGTTTCCCCAGCCCCTCATTCCCTTCGTGAGACAGGGTCTTAGGAGCCCTCACTGGCTTGAACTCACTTTGAAACCTGGGACAACCTTACATTTCTGATCCGCATGCCTCCACCCTCTGGGTCCCGGAATTACAGGTGAGCACCACCATACCAGGATCTGAGGTTTTTATTTTGCCCAATGCTCATATTGTTTAATTTGGGGCCAGTAGGAGCCATGTTGGTTTCCTATTGGTCTCTTAACCCTTTGACACACCTTTCACCAGCTTTGATATCTTCCTTGCTTTCAAACATGTCTTAATATTTCCTGCTCTCGAGCTAGAGTTATCCACTCCTCTAGGACCTGGTTCCTTATGATTGAAAGGGCATCTAGGTAAAGGATAGATGAGGATCAGGGAGACGGCTCAGTGTGTGTAGACATTAGCCACACCAGCCTGCTAACCTAAGG